CCCCCCCCCCCTAAAATGTTGGCTGGATCCGCCCTTGCAGTGCGCTATATTTGGACAAATATACTGAACTGGTCAATCGATAATCATTGAACAATATATCTGGTCAAGTATAACACCAGAGAGCAGCTTAAATAACAGTACAACACAATGGACTATTGAGAAATTATGAATTACTATGAATGACAAATACACCTTTGCAGTAATGTTTGCCTTGGCATATTGAAGGAGAATCATTTTGAAGTGAGGATATTTCATTGATTCTTGGGTCGCGGAATAAAAATTCAAAACTGATGTTACAAGAAAACATACAGGGTAAAACCTTTGTTTTTGGACGAGTGAGAAAAATCGTCAAGAACGTTTCACAAAATGTAGAAATCTGCCAACTAGAAGCCATATTAATTTCCATGAAAACAAATCTTGTTTATTCCCGCACAAATTAATCCTGAAGAAGAGCTTGAATACGAGTCTACACAGGAAATTTTTGTTGCAATTTATATGTTTTTACTCAGTCGTACGAGATTAACAATAATTTTGTTTCATTTTCATTCATATGAAGATAATAAACCATGTCTTTCTTTTCGTTCTTTGTCCGTTAATTTCATTTAACAACGTTCTTGCAGAGGTGTGTTTTATTCTTAGATTCTAAAAATCCCTCACACAAAAGGTTATTTTGAGAGCATTTCCTTTGCTTTAACCTTTGGCATGCTTTTGAGTTTTGGTCTTCACTCAGGACGAGACCTGTTCAAATTGCCATCATCATAGTCGACCTCGCGCTTATTATTTTAGGAAAGACAGCGGGTGGGTGGTCTGATCCCGTGGTCGAGCAACGAGGTTGAACTTCAAGCTGTTCGTAAAAATAGCTCAAATTAAAATTACTACACTGGAATGTCATGAATGGGGAAGAGTAGAGTGTCATGCATAAAACAAGGTTATTCAACTGAGGATTTCTTTTCCAAATGGCAAGGAATTTCTTACGGACTTCTATCCTCGAAAACTGATGATTCGAGTTTGTTTTCCAAGGCAGGAATGGTTCAGTTGATCATGATGAGATTTATGATATCAATCATGACTTGCATGGGGTCTTCTAATTTTAGCGTGTTGAGCGGTAACCAAACCACCATATCACTCATTAAACCTTATTGACAGACAAGCCATAGATTAAATAGCTTAAAAAAAACTCCCACAGTTTTAGTTGTGTTTTGAATAGAAACTCTTCACGTGAATAATGCAATGTCTTTTTTTAGCTCTTCGACACGTTTTTAGCACGGTTCGTAATCTTGTAGCTAACGGATGTAAGGTCTTCCAGGTTAAGCAGAGTCGGTAGAATGTAGTTCTATTCCTAAACATTCTTCACATGCATGATCATGATGTACATCGGCAAACTCAGTCAACACGTCATGGTTTTAAGCATGTTTTTTAATCTTGTTACTTATGCTAAGATCTATATCTATATCTGTATCTATATTTATATCTATATCTATATTTACACTTGATTGCAGAAAGGTTGTAGTATGCATTTATACAAATACCTAATTTATTCAGTATATTTAATGATATGCAAAACAGAAAACTCGCTTCATTTATTATTTGTTTCATTCAATGAACGTCAAAATATTTTATTCTTGTGTTTCACATCCTACAGATTATAAATCAATTGGTTTAGAGGGTTAAAAAAGTAAAATTGCAATATGCATCTCATTAGGTATTTGTATAAATGTATACTACAACGTTTCTGCAATCGAGTGTATATCTATATCTACATCTATATCTATATGTCTATTGACAAAATACTAATTTGAGATATAACGCGCGCGCTGATTAGCTGGCTACCGTGTTTATATCAGAGGACAGAGGCACGCAAACTCGTTTTATAAGAGCAGTATAAGATAGCTTTTTATGTCCCTGTACTTGATATAAACAATTTGGGACCTGTAGAGCACTAGCAAAGCAAGAGGAACATTCGGCAAAGCATGAATCATTACAAAAAGCTTCACTAAATAGCTTTTAAATTATTTTTTTCAATTTTGCGATCCGTTGAGGATTCGGGACTACTGTTGTTGGAGATCCGGTGGATTTGTTACTGCTCGTTGCTTTTCGGAGTTGGTATTTTGTGCGCGTGTCTTTAAAGCATTCCCCTACTGACCAGTAATACGCGCGGACTCAGGACACGAATATAGACCAAAAAGAGCATCTTCCATGTGCAGGAAGACATATTGACACAAGCAAGCACAACAGTCCGTATATATTGAAAATAATCTTTATTGTCTATAAAAATTTATGGCTATGCTACAATGCTACAAAATTACTAAGGAGGAGTGCTATGCAAAATGTAGACGACAAATAAGACGTTTGCATTGTAGTGTTATTTGACTACGAAAACCTAAATGTTTCCCTAAATTTCTTTCTTACTCAAATCTGTATTGCCCCATGAGAATTTTAAGACAATTGGTACTTATTAATTAACTGAACAAAAGAAAGTGTGCAAGGGATTCTGGTAGTTGTAGTCAATGACGCTATAATGCAAGTGTCTTATTGAATAGAGTCGTCTGTGGGATACTTCTAACATTTAATAGAGTATTTTACATACGAATATCTCACGACTGATAACTGATTGATATAGGATAATTCATCGATTGCCAGTGATATACTATATTAAATGGATTATTTTTATTTAGAAAAAAGATTTTGACAGGTTAATCTCACAAGCCTTGCAGTGCATTCTGGGACTGTTTCAGGGAAAATTATAGACGCCATCTTGAAATATGACGTTAGATGTAAACAAACTATTAATAATCTATGATAAAAATCTCGTCAGCTTTACATAATTTTAAAAATTTTGTTGTTTCGTTGAGAGGGTAAGATCGATATTTTCATTTTCTACGAAATGTTGTGATTTTTCTTCGTATTTTTTTTGTGATTCTTCTTCGTAAAATAGTGGCTTGCTTTGGCAATAGACGTAATTATGAATATTTTCTATAACCTGAATCTACGATAGTCTATCGATTTATATGATGCTGAAATTAATATTGGAGTAAATAACAGCTTTAATACTTACGACGCTGTATCGACTGTACAAAATATACGATTAGTTATCGATTACGACGAATTTAACTATCTTGAACAAAAGTAAATAATGACAACCAACTGTTGAAAGATTATTTTAAATAATTTCATGCAATAATTATGGAAAATATAAAATAAGACAAATAAGAACCAAACAATTGGAATTTTCAAAAGTGCAGAAAAATTAAGAGTTGTTAGGTTGAATGTGGCAGGCGAAAAGTTTTTCGCCCAGCCCATCGACCGACAGACGTTCCAATTAATATTATAATAGATTGTCCTATTTTGTATTTTCAAGAAAACTTAAGGATGTCTAGAGATGTCACCTACGATTATAGTGCATATATATCAAGATGAAAACTGTAAATAACTAAATCTGTGAGTAAATTGAATGTCATTCAAAATTCAATAATAATAATCTAGATACCAGTTTGTACAAACATTCCTTTCAGTTTTAATATTTCTAATAGTTAATGATAATAAATGATCTCAAATAATTTGTAATTGGATATTTTTCCTTCCATGCAAGATATAAAATTCTTTATACAGATTTTTTAGTTTTACAACATTAAGCATGGTATTATGACATTTTGTGAAGACGTGATACTGAAATGATTGATATTTAACTCCGTTGATAAAATACAAGTGACTTTTTTTTAAAATACTCTTTTCCTAATGAAACTACTTTTTTCTTAAGATAAACAAATTCAGTCTTCACAAATTTATCGTATTATTTCACTCGATTTTAATGCTTTGTTGGCAATTTTCAGAACGTGAACCGAAATCCAAACTCTAAAAAAATAATTCAGACATTTCTTTCAATTTAACATATAAAATATTTTTAACTTTTAATTTTTTCTATGGGTGTGGTAAATGGTGAAATTCTATAAATGTTAATTATAGGTTTCTTGCATTTACAGGTCACATGACAAATTCCCGTAAAAAGCGCGGCAATCCTAAAACTCGCCATGGGAGACTGGTAACTAATTCAAATCGCAATGGACTATGGGATTGATTTTTGTCCCATAATTCCAAGTTACATTGACTTGATATTTGTGTAAAAGTATCTTGTTTAAAAATTTTCTCCCGGTTACTCAGTCACGTAAGGAAAACTGTTACGTTACTTTGTCACACAAGTCACCTATTAAATTTATTTTAGTTGTCAATGCAATATATACCACCCTATTCTGAGTCATTAATAGTGATTTCCGCTTGAGGTAAGAAGGGTGCAGCCTCAGCGTTAACAACTCTGGCCATGGCATCAGGGGTCGGGTTAATTATGCTAAGTTCAATTCCTGAGTCGACCATGATATCACGAATGTGATTTTGAACGCCGGAGAAAAACACTGAAATTTTCCGACTCTCCAAGTCTTCAAGGACCATTAGTAAACTCTGGGTAACTGTAAAGTCTATTTGGGTAACCACGCTCAAATCAATGACAACTCCCCGTGGGGGAGGGTCTGAGTAACTCATCTCCTGAATTTCAGAGGTCACGTGCTCCATACCTGCATAGATTAAATCGCCGTTGACTTTGATGACGGTGTAATCGCAGTCAGCTTTGATCAGCTTTGGCCATACCACGGGGTAGAGGAATATCATAAGTGAAACACCGATGCCAAGGAGGATACCAAGCTCAATCTCGTAGAAGCAGCCAAAGAAAGTGATAAAGAAAGGGAGCAAGTCAATCTTCCTGGCTTTCCAGATCTTAGGTACGATGTGGTACTCGATCATGGTCAGCACAGAGGAGATAATGAGTGCGGCCAGCGATGCTTTGGGGATGTACTTGAAAAATGGCGTTAGAACACCTAGTGCAAGCAGTACGATAGCTCCAGTGAAAATACCTGCACAACGAAACAAACTCGCATTCAGTAAATACACTTTAGCCCGGAGAAAATAAACAAATGCATAACAAATAATGAAAAGTGTGTACGTGATATAACTCTGAATCTTCCGTCCCCGTTAAAGACAGTAATACTTGACTGTGTTTAACAAGTGTGGTATATAGCATATTTCTGACTTAGGAATTAAGAGAGAATTCTTTTCGTATTCAAGCAGCGAGCGCAAAAAACTATTTCCTTGAAGAAAGGCTGTTGTACAAGGCTAAAATCTTGTTATTCAGAAAGTTTAACTTGTTTGCGAGAAGTGAAGATGACCGATGAAAGTGGAATCAAAGTGTTAACCCAAAGCAAAAATTTTATTCGAAAATGAGGTTTAGGCCTTTATTTGCTTATTTCCCATATWTTTYYWWAAAAAAGCCTGACAAAGCAACATTCTAACACAAATGCAACAAAACATCTTTGTACAATTAAAAATACCGCTTCAAACAGGCATTTTATCATAGTTATTGAATTAAAAAWTTTTTCAAAGCACAGAAGAGTATCAACAAGCAACTCTATTTTCAACGTAAGAGTCAGTGGCGAACACAAACCGTGCTTCCCTTAGACGCGCTTTCTTTGCGCGTCCTTCCAATCCATCGACTACACAAAATCAAAGCTTTCTCAACTTGAATTTAAAGCGATCATTCGATAGGACACTAAAGCAGGCAAATGGTTCGTTGCGCGCTCGTTCAAACGACCTTTTCTTTATTTTTTACTAATTACCTACTTTTAGGACGATTTTGATTTTGATCTTTGGCAAAACCCATTAACATTATTCTTCAGTAATAGAAAATAGGAGTGAAACATCTTTCCTCTTCCTCCCCGCCTCCTATGTTTACTCGAACACTTCAGTATCGAAGCACTGAGACAGGCAAAACATATCATACGTCCCTCCCCTCCTTTCTGCCAAAATGTCTTCTTCCCCACAAATGTTTTGCACCCCCGTCTGATGTTTTGAATCACATGCACCATTAAAATACCGAAAATACTAACTGGCGTTTAATTGCTGGGGCTTAAGAGATTCGGCCGGCTCCATAAAAAGGCAAAGAATAGAGCGTGCCACTTTAAGAAAGTAACCCGAGTGAATTGCTACCATCAATGAAATACCGTTGGTAATTTAGTAAGCTTGTAATATATAAGACGCCGGTTAAGGTAATGTCTTAAGTACATTGATTGTCCACTTATTACATTTGGAGTGATCTTATTTTAATCGATAGTGCGGCGACCTCATAAGAATGTAAGCACAGAAAATGTAATCCCAAAAGTTACCGCACACGATTATGGTCTTTCACGCATTCGGAGGCATTCGAATGAAATAAACTGATCCCGCATTCATTCAGTGTTCTTCCACCCTAGTTGCTTTTGCTACGTCGGACAACCTAAAATGTGTTCTTGATATATAGATATATCATTTTATATGCGCATGGTTGGAATATAGTTATTTAAGAAAGAATCATAAGTAAACTCCATTTTGAACAACTTTTTAAAATGTTTCTCCAAAAAGTTACAAACCGCACTTTTGATTTAAACTGCTTCGTTGTTGCTGCGGTTTGAATTGCCGCAAACTTTTTTATGGTTTATAACAATTGACGATTTTCTGTTTTCCTTTACCATGTTCTCCTTTTTCTTATATTGTTACTAATCCTTTTCATCGTTCCTCTCCTTTCAAGGCTATATCTCGATGGCCGATTCTCTTTCCTTCTGAAAGCGCTTCTCTCCGCTCCAATCACCGGGGTGTGGACCCTAGTCACATGTTAAATCATGCCACATTGCAGTCAACTCGCTCTTCTTGGGCAAGCGCCAATTGACGATTTTTCTTTGTACGTAGGACAAATTAGTGGTCTACTTGACTAGGATAATATCTGTCGAATGCATGTCATCTTCGAAGCACACAAAAACAAATTTTAAGTGGCTTATTTTGATAAAGATCCGAATGGCACGTAGTAGAAGCTTTGAATACGTAATGGAATAAAAAACACGACAATATACCAAAACAAACAAACAAACAAACGAAGAAAAAGACCCGTCTAACATTGGTACAAATCAATTACTAAATAAAGCTTTTGATTTTAGATTTTTTTTTCAAAGTTCGGAAGAGTATCTCCGAAAAAAAGTATGCATTACACTGACGTGAAGGAGACGATTCATCATATCCGCGCGTTCTTTTGGTTTTCATTTTTCCCCAGGGTTAATCCCAAAACAATAATGCAACCCCAAACAATACTGGCTGGGTTTGTCAGTGTTGATACGCTCATAAACCGCATAGTTATATTGATAAACCGAGTCGTGCATTGGGTTCGTACTTTCCTTTTATCACACATGTCTTTCACACACCTCTTGTCAGATATTTCTTGAGCGCGCTTCAGCAGCGTCCGAATTTTCACGAAATTTGATATAAAAATGCCAGATCTCACGATTTTGGGGTAGTTTATTTGGGTCTTTCGTGCGAGCTTTATCGTATTCTGGGTTAGGGTTTTGGTATTGTTTAGATCCAAACTCATTGTTCTGGGCTATTTTTTTTTTGTGTGTGTGTTCAAGACTCAGGCTCACAGCAACACCAAGAAAGAGCCGTTCATTTGAACCGATTGCTTTGGTTGTACGGCACTTTTATCGCATAGATTTTATCTGAGGGAGTTGCATTTTTTAAAGCCTTAGTCATATTTTGATTGATTCCTCATGGTTTATGATCATATAATAATTCATGGAACACATGTTAATTATCCAATTAGTGGTTTACGTGTCCGGATGCGGTTGTTCCATTATATTTCGCCGCAAAAGAGCCATGTTCACGTCTGTACCTTCCAAAAATAGCCCTTAGACTATCGCGCGCAGCAGGCGCAATCTTCTAGCAAGTACGTTAGGCTATTCCTTGGGGCTATTTTCCCAATTTAACCCAGGAATTTAAACAAACGCTTCTTAATAATAAATTTTACTAGCCTCTTGCGTGAGGTATTCATGATCAAAAATAGACTATACGGTTTTCACGCGTTTAAATTGTTTGATAAAACATGTCGTTTCGACTGCAGCTGAAGAATATTCTCACTATCAAACGCCTCTTACACTGAAATAGCCTTGCGCGTATTTAGTATACTAAGATAGCATCCTTGTAATAGAATCGTTACTTTGCCCTGATGAACAAATTCTGTACTTTGGACCTCGAGTACAAGGGTGGAGATCGCTCCAAGACACATCCCGGTTCAACTATTTCGGGGAACACGTCAACAGAAATTAACTTCATTCTACTTTTGCACTCCTTTTGTGCGTAACCGACAGCGAAGTGGCCTTTATTTTCAATTTTGTTTATGTAAAGAGAGATATCCGTTTAACAAACACTTTATTCTCGAACTATAAAAACAAATTAAAAAACCAAGAAAGCAAACACTTTAATCCTATTTGAAACACTTTAATTATCACTTATTCTATGAAAATGCTTTTTCTAGAAAACGGTTTACGTTCGCGTGGTATCTGAGAGTCACGAGCATCGAAACATTTGAAGCTTCTGAGAAATTTGATTTGAAGGAAGTGGAGAAATCCGAGCTGAATTTCTTCCCCCTAGGGGCTGGTGTTGATGACCCTATTCAAGTGGATGTGCAGCATTTGTGTTAATCAAATCTGATATTCAAAACTTCCGGTGAGCTGGAATTACATGAGCCACAAGTCCTAACTAGAATAACCCTTACACCTGATCAAAATTTACAGAAATCTTCGAAGGGGAAAATTTGTTGAGGTCGTAGCCCCGCTTGACGCAAAATATTCGCAATACGCCTTTCTACCATTCGTGTTTTTTTTTGGAACAAAAAAAGAGAAAAGAAAAAAATAGGTTCTCTTGACTTCAGTTACATAACACTAGGAACTGCATTCAGTGTCACAAGCCACAGGTCCTGATTAGAATCCTTGTCCCTGAGCCAAAGTTTACGAAAATCCTCGAAGAAAATTTCGTTTGAGGTCGTAGTCCGCTTAACGCAAAAAAATACGGAATGCACTTTTCTACGATTCGTTTTCAGTTTTTGGAAGAAAAAAGAAAAGGAAAAAAAAGGTTTTCTAGTCTCGTTACGTAACGCTAGGAACTGCATTGTGACTGGACGCGTGCCACACGTTCTTGATGACGACTTTCTACTTTGTAAATTGCAAGCCGGTAAATAAAACGCCCTATAGAAAAGCTGATGTAACTGCTTAAAAAATAGAGTACGTATAGCTATGTTCCCTGGCTCACAGCAAGACCTGATTAGATATTTTGGGTCGTTCAAGGAACTCGTGTTTGAAATACCGTGATTACATGAAGTTAAGCTGTCAACACAAGACCCGGCAAAAGTATTACAGATGTGTGCGTTACTTTGACTTCCACTGTGTAAGATGATTTTATCACTTTCTTAATCTTGGATTATTTTCTCTTCCCGCGCTAGCACGATCAAGTACAGTTCCTCAATAGCTGAAGCAGAGGGAATTTCTAAAATGTCTGTGCCAAAAACTTTTGATTTTGATTTTCTAAGAACTGTTTTCTCCTTTTTGATGTGTCAGCACGTGCTGCGAATTTTCTATCGTTAACCTGGCTCTAAAAGTTAATCGCATTCCTTTCTCTCAACGTGTAACCTATTTTTGTACTGAGTATTTATTATGAGTCCTATGAAAAGCATGGGTGATCTCTACAGCACGTTAAACTATGTACTCACCTCCAGCAGGGGTGGTGACACCACTTTGCGCGTTCACTGCGGTTCTGGAGAAGCTGCCCGTGACTGGGTATGATGAGACAAAGGAACTGAAGCAGTTGGCAAGACCAAGTGCGATAAGTTCCTGACTTGCGTCAACTTTGTATTTGTTCTTGCGGGCAAAGGCTTTGGCAATGGCTATGCTTTCTAGGAAGCCGATGAGAGGGACGATGGCCAATCCCGGTCCAACTTGTTTGAGGACTTCCAAGGTTGATAGGGTCTGGTTTCCGACAGTAATGGTCAAAGAAGGTGCCTACGATTCAAAAAGAAAACATTAAAGATCTTAACTACGGTGTCTTAAAAATCTATATTTGTGTTAATAAAGTTCAGTACTAAAGGAAATGAAATTTCACGAACTAAAAATTTAAGTTAGCTGGTTCAAAGGGTGGGGAGATTTTAAAAATGGTCCTTTAAAATTTGCCAGCCTTAATATATTTTTTCCTAGTGCAATTTTTTATGAACTAACTGTAAGCCCGCGCTAAATCAATTCTAAATGGGTTTCTGATTGACTGACATCAAGGAACAGATTTCGACTGCATGCAAACTAACTGTTGGGAGTCTGGGTGGGTGTTCACGCAGAGCATCCAACAGCCATAACATCCTGCCAGGTAATCGTCAATAATATTAGGATATCTAAATATGGGATCTGGCTACAGTAGTATGACAAAAAACATATATATACATAAATAATTTTAATATTTTTTGAGCTACATAAGTTCATCAGTGTTCCCTTTTGAAATAAACTTCATATCTATTATTATTATTTCTAGAACGTTCATAATTGTGTTAAGAGGGATTGCGGATTAAGCAGGAAATAAAGTTCATAACATTTTTTCCGAAAGCCCTTGCCAAGTTCAAGTTGGAAGGCTTTGACCCGGCTTTGTAAACTGAAAACTCCGATGTGAACTATGCGAACTCTAACAAGCACGTACAGGTTGAAGAAGCAAGTGCAAACTGTACGGTGTAATATCACAAAGGTCGCACCCGTGAACTACCGGGTAAAAAACTAGAACATTAATATTAAGTGGAATGCATCAAATGATGATTGAGCGCTGCTGACAAGGCTAAAGCAGTTTACTGCGAACCCTTTCCTGTGACTTATTAAGTCACAGACAGAAAAAAGATCTAGATTTAAAATTAACATAATCAAAAATTATAGAAATTATAGCAATATCTAAAATCAAAAAAAAAAAAAGTCTTAATTTTCTTCCTCATCCGACGAAAGTTGGTTATCGACTCGGGTCACGGTGTTGAGAGACTATAACCATATTACGCGTCAACGATTTGCCCTTGTAGTTGATAAACAACGTACGAATATGCTTGAATGCACGGGTTTGGAGTGCGTTCGCTGCCTAAGTATGCTATCATTCAAAACACATCACCATCGATTAATATAAAAACTGTCTAGGATCTTTCTCAGGCCCTATATTTCCCATAGCGACAGTAATATTTTTTAGCGTTTTTGTTGTTAATATGGGCAAGTGAAATTCTGTTATCATAAGTGATAAAACCTGTTTGATTGCGTCGTGAGCCTATTAGAACTTAAGTTAAACCAAATAAACACTGCAAAATGAGCGGAGGATGGAAGGGAAATAAATTAATCAATAAACTTGTTTTTTTTCCTGTACCTGAAAAGGAGGAAATCCCGGCTCCAAGTGATCGGTGAGAGAAAATGCATCATGAAAGCCATGCTGAAGAAAAATTACCGCCACGAAGGAAGCAAGTAAGATTATCAGTGCATTGCGAGCGATCGAAACGATCCACACAAGTTTTTTCGCCAACCGCAAACCCTTGTGGTTTTCCTGATGGCCTTCCTTTACCCATTTCGATCGTCCGACCTTTCTTAGCGAGAGAAGCACCACAATACATATGAGACCGAGAATTAAATCTCCTGTTTTGGTGTCTCCGAGGTGCCTGAACGTGTAGTAGACTCGCTTGATAAAAGGTCTAGGTACGTCTCTGAGTCCTAGTAAGTCTTTGATTTGCCCGATTGCAATGATGATTGCTGCCGACGAAGTGAAACCGCTCACTACTGGGATAGAGATGAAATTCACCAAAAATCCAATCTTCAGAATTCCCATTGCCAGTTGAATCAGGCCACTGAATAACGTCAGTACTATTACGAAAGCGGGAATATCCGGTCTTCCATAGGCTGAGACTATTAGAGACATGATAGCAGTGGGCCCAAGGGTAATGTCTTTGCTTGTTCCAAAAATACAATATACGAAGCAACCCATAAAGGCTGAGTAAAGGCCATATTGTGGAGGTAATCCAGCCACCAGAGCGTACGCTAGGCCCTGTGGTACTACCATTAGTCCTACGGTAAGTCCTGCTATTATGTCAAATTGTAAGGCAGTGAAATTATATTTCGGCAGCCATGTACTTATCGGGAACCTCTTGGCAATGTAGTTGGTGAAAATGCTTTTATCGCATCGTTCGGAGCAGTTTTCGATGCATTTTTGCTGCAGTTCTACTCTGGTAGATCTCGGAGACGACATGGTAGCTCCTTCTTCCAGCCTTGGTCTTGGAAAGAACCTCTTACTTTGGATTTCTTGATTTAGTTAGGTGTCTAAATCAAAATCTGACTGACTTCTGCTTCTCTTAACAGCAAGCCAAGTTTATTTTCATCTAAACAGGTTCTCTGAACAACTGACCAATACAACACCAAAGTGGCTCATCAATATTTATACTATTCCATTCACCGTCACAGATGGCTTGTATTTCATCCAATAAGTAACGAACCAATGAGATTTTAATACATCTTAAATGTCACACAAACGTGAGTTGCAGAATGGCACACACTAGATGAAACTAAACACCTAGAAATGGCATTAATTTTGACATATTTTCTGAGCAAATCCAAGCTATTTTATCTTGGTTTCCAAGCAAGATTTAAAGCGTTGTTTTTGAATATTTAATCTTCCCGGCTTAGGTGTGCCAAGGAAAAATTATTCAAATTCATTAATAACATTATATATATTATAAATGGTTTAAACATTGAAGTAATTAAAAATACCCTCACGAGAAATAATATCAACTTTCCAGGTTTTAGTTGAAAAAAAATAGCTCTTGAAATCCTTTTTTTTTTTATGTGCTAAAAAATAAGAGCAACTGGAATAACTCGTGAGAGTTTCATTAAAACCGACCATAAGAGGAAAAGCAAGGATGAGTCTAATGTTACTATAGCATCCAACAAACTTTGAAAGATTTCAGGCTCTTCTTTGCACACACTCGTGAATTAAATATGCAAACAGATGGGGTCTAAAATGGTTTATTGATAAAATATTTCGCTAGGCACGTTTTGGTTGGACAATTGAGTGAGATGTTTTTCAAAGTAGATTTGATCATCTGTTTTCTCGTTGTAACACGTTATCCTTAATTACTTAACCAAACTGAAATATTAGCATTTGAATAGCGGAGTGTGTTTGAGAAGAGAAAAAGCAGTTTCGTTTAATAAATACAGGATTTCTTCAGACAAAAGCATATAACCGTTCCTTAGTCGAATGTGATAGAATTTCTATTTTCTCAAAACATATTTTTAATAGTTATTGAAAAGCCGCAGGGTTGTGTTTCCTTGGAAAGACAAGGATAATAAAAGTGCACCATATGAGGTGACGAACTATATAACTGAAAAAAAAAAAAAAAAAAAAAAAAAAAAAAAAAAAAAGTCCAGGTCATTCTTGAAAATTCTATCAGGAAATTAAGGTGAGGATTAGGGAAAACCGGTTCAATGTCATTTGGAATAAAATCTAATTGCACGAAGCTCAAACGTGAAGCCGTCACAATAGTTCTATAACGTTTTAGCGGCTTGATACCTCTTTAGTTGTGATGAATTTGTTTAGTAAATCTATGCACCATATTGGGATTGTTTTCGTCATAGCGCAATTTTGATTTTTTGCCAAGTTTGAGGCAGGACTTTGTAAAAATTGATATTTATTTATTTATTTATTTATCTTTTATGGTTACGTAACTTGTTTTGCTGCAAATCCCTAGAGCAGGGGAATCCAAACATCTTGTTTTCCTTGGACTAATATGGAAGGTACGAGGAATAAATCCGGAAACAACGCAGCGGGACGCTTGATATTGAATTTTAAATATCTCATTTCATTAAATTTTTTTTTTTTTGCTGTTCCATGGAATTCACGTACTGTTGAACGAAGCCAAGACCAGGAAAAAAGAAGGCTCATTTTTTCTCCTTAAGAAAAGTATTTTCCCAACTTCGGAATTCTTCGGAAAATGATATTTCTAGTTTGAATAAAGGCGTTCCGTTTCCAGAAGAATTCAAAGAATATAAACAACAAATTGTAAACAAAAAATAGTTCTTCGACGTTATAGCTTGAGGGCTTCTTTTAGTTCCTTCGACCGGAGATAATGGAATTTCTTTTAATAGCAGCAAATTGACTTGTAAAACAGAAAGCTGAATTTTTTTCAGGAAGATCATGATCGAGGTTCAAGTATTAATTTCCCAATTTGTTGATGTTTTGATTTACTGTAAAAGTACCAGGACCAAATGTCAATTCATCGCTTTGTTTGCGTTCCCTTTAGACTTCGCACCAACTGCTACACAGCTAGCCATAATATCAAAACTCCTAAATAACCAAATTCTCGCTTTACGAACAGAAAAAAAAATGTTTGAAATACTAAAAATCCGCTTATTACTACGGAAATGAACACACGAATAACGAATCATCTCGATCTGCAGATATTTTTTCAATTTATAATTGATTGCTTTGTTATCTATCGTGCATCCGATTCATATGTTTTTATCCATAGAAGGTTCCAGAGGTATTTAATGTTTAATAGACGTTAAACCCATTCTTGGGGAACGTTTTGGTCTAGTTAACCTAATTGCTTATCATAATCTTCAAAGTAATGCACGGATTATAGGACGTCAATAATTCAATGGTTTTCATCGGATGGTCTGACTGAATAGACCGGTCATGTTGTTCCGGCCTTGAAGTCATTCTTATTCTCTGTTTGACAATCAAGGACATCGAGTTGTGAGAGGGAAGGGTCCAGTCCAGGAGGTCTATAAAATAAGACAGGATTTCTTGTATGCTCGCAACTACATACAGCGCACTTCCTATGATCCGAACTTAAGATAACTGATAATTTGGACATTTTCCCTGGACCCATTCCTTTACAGAATCAAAAAGTTTCGACAAGTACGACTGCTTGTGTCAGTCGGCAAAATCGATGTTATTGTATTTGTTTTTCCCTGCTATTAAAAGAAAACTATCTACTTTAGCTTGAGGGAAGAGGTAGGGAATAATGACCCTTCTGACGGACCTTTCTGTCTCGGTTTGTTTACTGCATAATAGGGTCGTGTGCATCGGTTATTGGACGCTCACGTGCCGCGACACCCCCATACTGATTCCGGTTACCAGCATAGCTGGTTAACATTTCAAAGTGTTTTTTTTTTACCCCTAAAAAAAAAAAATAAAAAAAAATGGAAAGACAAAGCCCTTTGCACGGGAAGTACCTTGCAGTGCAAATATGGCTAGGTGTTTCGCTCTCAGAGTGAAGACCATTATGTCATGTTGCGTCACGACTTATGCTATAGTCACATGCACTCTTAGTCTCTCACGTGCAGCATTCCAGTAAGAACCAGGCAGAGAGCTGGCTTAACTATATTAAAGTTAAGCGTCCCGCGCTATTTTTCATGTCGTAGTTTTCCCCCACTCTTTCACACCGTAAACTGAGGACATTAGTGCAAATATGGCAATGACATTGCCTTCCGGCTTCGAAGTTCAAATATTCGGGCGTATAATACAAGTACCTCTGAAGTACGCCGCGGCCTTTCTAACTTTTTCTTTTTTTACGTTGAATAAACAATCAAAACACGGAAAGTTGGGTAATGGAGGCTTGAATGTCCAGGTTTCTTTTCGTCTTATTTAACATACCTGAGTGCGCAGCTAATGGTTTCAATTTGTCAACAATAACTATAATCAACACGTTAATGCACGAAAATTGTGCAATGAAATTTGTGTCGAGCACGTTTAGGACTCTTTTATGCTGTTTTAAGATAATAAAGGTTAAAGAAAGGCTCGGGAAAATTTTCTATATTTGATCCTGTTTGGACAAAACCCTAGTGTTAAAAATGTCCAGGTTTTCGAGAAGGTCTTCTGAACGTAAGCCTTTGTTATTTGGACATCAGAAATTGATATTGCGCGATGAGATATGAAGCTTGAGTGGCTGATCTATGACCTCAAATGAGGAAATTCTTACCCTTGACTTTCTAAATCCTTCAAAAAATTTGTCTTATTTGGCGAGGAGCTCAACTGATATGATAACGAAGCTGACGTCATATCATATGACTTCCCATTTCGGAACAAGGACTTAATACCGGTTCTTCTTCTCTTGTCATGATTAGCCCGACTCTAAGTCCCACATTATAAAAAAGACATATTATGCTTACCAGAAAGACTGCTGTGTACTACCTTGGGGAGAGTTTTAATTGGTGAAATATTTAGAGCAGAGGAGCATTAAGATGGACTGAACATGTATACGTGCAATCCACTATGCCGTTTGCATTTTATTACAACTACCAAAATGCTTCGCGAATCTTCTTTCCTACTCAAATTTGTATTTCCTCGTGAGAAAAGTAAGAAAATTGCTGCTAAGTAACTGAACAAAAGAAAGTTGTCTGGTAGTGGTAGAGTGCACGCACTAAAACCGTGAACATTAAATAGTACTAATTAGTACTATTTCATACAGAATCCTTTGTTTTCTATTGTTTAATTATCACTATTTAGTGCTAAAAATTAGTATTTGTTTCACGGATTTAGTGTGAGCACTCTATAGTAAATGACGCTATAATAAAAGTGACCTATTTGGATAAGCTACTCAGATTTCTGGACTAACCAAGCTATTTACATTTATTATTATACGTTTTCCTTCTATTTCTTATTAGTATTCTGTTCATAAACGAACGGTTTACAACAAAAAGCTGTAAAAAAAACGACGTAAGCCGCCCGCATTTCTCAGTTTTGTGAAATACTTTATTGTGAACTCGTGCGATTCGACACGTTTTCAAGAATTTCGAGAAGCCGTTTACAGGCGCTCACACGCCATCGCGTGATCATGTAACGTTCTGTTTGCTCAGCATATATATTGTATGTCTTAGTATGAAAACTTGCAAATCTTAAAACAGATTTGGATAACCTGATATCAATCATGAATAATAATAATAATCCATCAACTATCAACTATATATTGTAACGCCGAAGTCTATTCATTATAATCAGATCCTCATCTTTCTACTTCAAATTTATACAAATAAAAAATTACTAATTCTTTATAAGTAATTTTGATGAAGTCAACGAGAAAACATATAAATACAAACACCTGTTTGGGACGGTTTTGGCCGTGAGATTTGAAATAATGACCTGCTTTTAGCAGAGATATTCTGGCTAGAAGGTAACCCGAGAGGTTCGGCCAATCAATCCTATTCAAATATTAAAACCAGGCGAAAAAATAAAGTTGGTGAAAGACAACTTTGGCTTTGAAAAGCTTTTTTTGTTTGTAACAAACCAAAAGGCTATAAGACGTGCAGGCCTGCAAAGCCGGTCTCTGTTGATTTTATTTAGCGATGAAAACTGAAGTGAGGTGTGGTCGTGTGTTCAAGATGGAGAGTGAAAACAATTCAAGATTTGGCTTAATTTTT